GACGAGATACGGATACCGATACAACATCATGATTTGTACACGTTACCATGTGAAAGTTTTCTATACGTCGAGGGAAAGTTGAGGGTGCGTAAAGTAGATGAAGGGGCAAGAGTGGTATTGGGCAACAATTGTGTCGCGTTTATGTTTGATGAACTTCGATATGAACTCGACGGTGTGGAGATTGATCGCAACAGAAATGTTGGAATAACTTCCACGATTAAAAACTATGTCTCTCTAACAACCGAGAAAGGTAAAATCTTGGAGAATGCTGCGTGGAATATGTCGCATAATGCTGTTGATACTTATTTCAATTTTTGCGTGCCGCTAAACATACTTTTGGGTTTTTGCGAAGATTATAAGCGAGTTGTGATTAACGCTCGTCACGAATTAATTCTGATACGTTCGTGCAACGACAACAATTGCATATTTGGAAATGTTTCGATTGAAGCTGATATCGAATTATTCAAGATACATTGGTGTATGCCTCATGTAATATTGAGCGAGGTCAATAAACTATCCTTGCTACGCGCGTTGGAAGGCGGGCGATACTTGAATATGAGTTTTCGCTCTTGGGATCTATACGAATTTCCTCTATTGCATAATACGACCAAGCATTCGTAGACCGTGAAACTCGCCTCTCAGCTGGGGAAGCCGCGATACGTGATCTTTGCGCTGCAGACTGGCAGAAAAAATGCTGTGTCAAAAGATATTACTACATTCGACGACTGCAAATTGACCAACGTTAAACTCTATCTAAACTCGGAATTTTATCCCTACGATGATTTGAATTTAGATTTCGATAAAAATAGATTCGCCCTCTTGTTCGATATGTACTCTCGTTTTCGCAAATCTTATTACGGATGTGATAATGATGATGTGCTATTAAACATTTCAAAATTTTTACATTGCGGTCCTCTTGCGGTTATCGATTGCTCGCGACAAAACGAGTTTGTCAAAAATTCCACCGTGGACGTGAGATTAGAGTTTGAGTGCAAGGAGGATATACCAGCAAATACCACCGCTTATTGTCTCATCTTGCACGATCGCGTTGTTGAATATTGCCCATTGACCAACGTAGTTCGTAAAATTACATAGATCAGCATATATCCCCTCCAATGTCAAAAATATATAAAGATTGAGATTTTGACGATCGGCGGCAGTCGTACATTGTTCTTGCAATCGTACAGTAATATTATCAGCGTGATCGCGCCAACGTTTGTGGATCTGCAAGGATTCATTATCGGGAGAAACTTTGTCGTGAAGGAAATAGCGATACTGAGAAGTGGATTTGTTCTTTCTCACTACTTTTTTGCAAGTCCCGTACCATGGCGTGCGCTTACAAAATCTGAGAATGTCAAGCTTCATGGCTAATCGGACATCACCATGGGCTTCAATGGGAGGATGGAAACGTTCCATACAGCTTCGCCAGGCGTTTGATTACGAGAGCTGTGATGGGTGCGGCGGAAGAGGAAATTGGAGCATCTCCTATCGTGTACGTTAAAGGACACGAAAAACGAGAATGGCTGGCCGATATACTTGACGATGATGCGAGAAACGACGTTATTATTGAGACCTTGGATGCGGACTATGAAGATATCACTTCGTTAAATAAGCTAGATGTTACTAATACTATGCGCTGTGAAAAACATTTAAAAAACTGCGCTTTACAAAATGTATTTAAAATATTCAATTGGTGGACAAATCATCGTAAAGATTCGCCCAAACATTTTTTAGAATAAATTATTGTTAAAATATATTTTTATTCTCTTTTATTCTTCCCTTTTCCTCTTTCTTATCCCAGTATACGAATATTAAATTTCAGTATGTGACGTTAGATAACGGCGTCAGCCACCTTGTCAGACTACAGATGTTACATTTCAGTACATGGACATAGAGTTTAAATATTTGAATGGTGTATAAATAACTGTTTTGTCGTTCAAAGCCGTTCGATAGCCGTTCAATAGTCGTTCATAGCCGTTTGATAGCCCTTCGAAAGCTGTTCAAAGCCATTCGATAGCCGCTCAAAGCCGTTCGATAACCGTTCGACAGCTGTTTAAAGCCGTTCGATAGCCGTTTGATAGCCGTTCAATTGCCGTTCGATAGTGGTTTACATATTATAATAATAATACATTCATATTTAAAAGACTTGTAGACAATTGTCCGCGGGGACGTGCTACCTTTGTTTCAATGTTTCGCCTTAATCTGGTAAGTAGTGTTCAGTGTTTTTGTGTGTGAGATTATGTGTGATATTTATTAATTAATAATATATTTCAGTTCGTGCAAATAGACGTCATCCACCGCAGATACATGCGATGGATGAGAGAAAATTTGCGTTGGGCGCACGCCAATTTGTGGGGCGATACGCGAGAGGCCCGGGAGTGGGCGATCGTTCACCCCAGCATATACGAGGACATTTTCTACTTGCGGCCTCTTTTTGGGCTTGAGCCGTATGAAGAAGAGGAGAATTGGGAGCCGGAGGAAGAGGCGTGGGAACGCGAGAGACTTCGGAACTCTTTGATGTTAGTCATCTCGCTTGCTCCTCATTCGTTCTCGCTTTCGGCGACTCTCCAGCATCGGGATTTTTTCTTATCTGCAACATATAAACATCTTATAAAATATAAACTAAAATTTTCCTTTTGTATTTTATCTGTTTGCAAATATTTGTAATCAAATAATGAGATTTTTGCGATTAAAATGATACCAAACATGATATAAATAGGATATTTTTTGATTAAATAAATAATCAAAATTTTACTTACATATTTAATTAAAAATTATCCTATTTATGTCGTGTTTCGTGTCATTTTAATCGCAAACATCTAATTAATTCATTAAAATTATTTCGACGCTAATACATGTGTAATAAACCGCTTTCGCGAGGCGGTGACGGATAACTCGGTCGGGATCCGGGGCTCGTGAAAGGGTATCGAGAGACGAACGATAGTGATGTTAGGTAAAATATAATTTATTGCGTGTTGTGGTGTATATGTACAGCGTGTGTGTTGATTGGATCTTATATTTCCGTGATACGTGCACGGCGAAAAGGGGCACGTCAAAAATGATGCCGGGCTCTACTTGTACGCGGATCGGTGGCGGCGGTAACGGGCCGGTCGGCATCAGGAGGCGAGTCGGCTGGTCTTCGCCGGTCTCGTTCTCGGTTTCCCGCGATCTCTTGCGGGCCGGGTTGCTCGCTGGTCGGCGCGAGCGGACTGGCGGCGGTGGTGGAGCCTGCATCAGCTGCTCCATTTTCAGCTGATTAGTCCGATCTGAACGCTGGATCAGCGTTCCTATTTTCGGCGGCCGGCTCGGTAGTCGGGCGGCTGGGCCGGTCGACGGACGGTCGGTCGTCAGCGGCTTCTCATTGCCGGTTCGGCTGGTGTTCGGCGTCGGCGGTTGGTACTGGAATCCTGGGTCGTCCAGGAGCTCGTCGATGGCAGCTAGGATGCTTTCGTGATCGCATATCTTTGCTATCTGTCCCGTTAAGGCTAAAGTTCGGCTGTTTATTCTTCCCCATCGGTAGTGGGGGTATCATCATCCTCGTCCTCAGGGTTGTTATTGTCGCCGTTTTGTTTGATCTTTGCGACTTTGAGATCCTGAATGTGTACATGTTTGTACCACTTTCCCCGCTTGCTCCTCAGGTCTACGGTTACCGGCGAGATAATTTGGCGAACTTCGAGCGGCCTGATATATTTTGGCGCGAGTTTTGCGTTGAAATTGTCGGCTTTCTTTGACAGCGGGTGGTCTTTCTTCCACACCCATTCGCCGATGTGCGGTCGCCACTCTCGTCGCCGGAGGTTGTAATACTGCTCTTGCCGCTGGAAAGCTCTTGCAAGTTGGATCCGGACGATTTTATAGGCGTCGTCCAGCCGTTCTCGCGTCGTGTCCGGGGTCGTTCTCTCGGTTGCTGGTGCGGTGCGGTGCGGCGGTACGAGCTCTCGCCCGTGATTTACGTATGCCGGCGTATATCCGGTGGCGTCATGTACGGCCGCATTGAATGCAAATTGAAATGCGGACAGGTGTTCGTCCCAGTCTCGATGGTCTTTGTCGACGAATTCGCCGATCATCGTCTTGATCGTCCTGTTGGTCTTTCCACCGGGTTGCAGTGCGGTGCATAGGCGGGTGCGGTCTTATGCTGGATATTGAACGCGCGCAGTCGTTCGGTAAATTCCTTGGAGGTAAACTGCGTGCCGTTATCCGACAGGATTGATTCTGGTCGGCCGTGTCGGAGGATGACTCTCTCGATGGCCTTCGTGATGGTTTTGGCGGTGGCTTGGCGGAGCGGTGTTAATTCCACCCATTTTGAAAAACGATCTTGCATCACGTAGAGCCATGTGTGGCCCTGTTGTGAGCGCGGCAAGGGCCCTACGAGATCGGTAGTGACTTGCTCCCAGGGGCGCTGAACGTCGGTCGCGTGGAGCTTTCCGGCCGGTTGTTGCTGGGCCACCTTGTGCTTCTGGCAGGTCTCGCATGTGCGCACATATCCGGCGATCGCACGGAACATCTCTGGCCAATAATAATGCTCGGCGATGCGAGCGATTGTTTTCGCTATCCCCAGGTGTCCGGCTGTTGGTGCGTCGTGATAATTCCTCAGCACCGTGTGGCGTTGATCCTCCGGCACACACTCCTTCCATTGTTCCTCTGCGGCGTTCTCCTTGAAGTTCAGGCTGTGCAGGATATGGCGGAACAATTTCTCTTCGCTGATTCCGTAGTCCGGTCGGCTGGCTGGCTCGCGCTCGACCTCCGTGAGGATTCGTTGGTACCAGCGGCACCGGCGTGCGGTCGCGGCGCACAGCTCAGGTTGTCGCGATAGGGCGTCCGCCACTCGGTTGAGCGTGCCCTTGCGGTACTTGACCTCGAGGTCATATTGCTGGAGCTCAAACAGCCACCGAGCGAGTCGCCCGGTGGGAGCCTCCAGACGCTGTAGCCATTTTAACGACTGGTGGTCGGTTAATACGGTGAAGGAATACCCCTCGAGGTAGCCCTTTATTCGCCGAATGCCCCATACAACCGCGAGGCATTCTAGCTCGGTGGCGCTATAATTACGCTCGGCGCTGTTCAGTGTCCGGCTCGCATACGCTATTACGCGCTCCCCTTCCTCGAAGTACTGTGTCAAAATGGCTCCGACGCCGTTAGTGCTGGCGTCCGTTTGCAGCACAAATCGGCGCGTGAAATCCGGGCAGGCGAAAACGGGGGCCGAAATAAAATAAAATAATAAAAAATAAAATAAGTTTTAACTCGCGAAACGCTTTCTCCTCGTCGGAGCCCCATGTCCACCAGGCGCGCTTCTTTGTTAGTTGGGTAAGCGGTGCGGCAACGGTCGAAAAATTCGCGATGAAACGCCGGTACCAGGACGCCATCCCCAGGAATTGTCGGACTTGTTTCACGTTTTTCGGCTCGGACCAGTTGGCGACGGCGCTGACTTTGTCGGGGTCCGTTCGTATCCCCTCGCGATCAACCACGTGCCCTAGGTATTTTAGTCGGTCGACGCAGAATCTGCACTTCTCCGGGTTGAGGCGCAAGCTCGCCCCGCGAAGTCGGCGGAAGACTTCGGTTAGTAACTTCAAATGTTCCTCGAACGTTTTGCTGATTACGATGATATCGTCTAAGTAGACAAATACGTTCGGCTCGAGGGCGGGGCCGATGATGGTGTCCAACAGTCGCTGGAAGATGGCCGGTGCGGAGTGTAGGCCAAACGGCATGACCGTGAATTGATATAGGCCTCTTCCGTGTATTGTAAAGGCGGTGACCGGCCGGCTGGCGGGTTTGAGCGGTACTTGCCAGTACCCGTTTTTCAGGTCGAGCGTTGTCAGATATCGTGCGCCCCGTAGTTTCTCTAACGTCGCCGTCACTTGCGGTAAGGAGTACGCATCCTTCTCTGTGGCGTCATTTACCTTGCGGAAATCTATGCAAAATCGGTACTTTCCGTCTTTCTTCTTCACTAAGACTACGGGTGAACTCCAGGCGCTCTTGGACGGTTCGATGACGCCTTTCGAGGAAATCAAACGGATCGCGCCCGTCGAAATGACAGCCCCATTTGCGCATTTGGCACAGTACTTCGGAGCTATCGGGGGGCGCGGGGTGCGCGGTGTTGGTCGGTGGCATGGTGCGCGGCGGTGTCTGGGCCGCGGTCGTGGGCTCGTCGCCGTGCGCCCCGAATTCGTCGGGATGCGCCTCGACATACCCGGACATCCGCCGTCGGATATCGTCGAGTGTACCGGACGTGTCCACGCCCCGGCCGACGGCCACTTCGATCAGTTGCGCTTTGGGTAGGTTGTAAATCCATCCTTTCATTTCCGCACTTTTACGACGCTTCGTCTCGCGTAGATAGGGTTCGTGTCTCGATACGGTCAGGTAGAAACGGACCCTGTTCGGGCGCCAATGTAATAAACCGCTTTCACGAGGCGGTGACGGATAACTCGGTCGGGATCCGGGGCTCGTGAAAGGGTATCGAGAGACGAACGAAAGTGATGTTAGGTAAAATATAATTTATTGCGTGTTGTGGTGTATATGTACAGCGTGTGTGTTTATGTGCGTGAGTGTGTATAGGTGTGCGAGTGTATTGGTGTGCGTGCGAGACGAGTGACGATTGAGTGAGCGCGCAAATGTATAACAATAATTAGTTGGGCGCAGAGTATCGAATGTAAGATCGTTATGTATGAGCGAATGATACAAGCGTGTGAGTGCGTGTCGGTATATCGCTGTGTGCGTGAAGCGGTCGCCTGTACGGCGATACGGCGGTGTGCGATGTATAAATGATTATAATTGATTGAATATAGATATAATGTAAATGCGTGTACGATGCTGGATGTACGGCGGTACGGTCGTATCGGGCGCGGTGCATCCAATACAACTCATGGATGCGTGGCGCGGTTCGAGTTTTCGGCGGATCGATCGAATATTGATTATGGCTCGCGGACCGCGATTTCGGCAGATGACGTTAGCTATCGGGCGGTAATTTTGGTCGGCCCGGTGGGCGGTCCTTCGACGCGTCGGTATTGATCGCGTATGTCGATGGGTGTCGCGGTAGGGATGTGGATCATCCCCCGGCGCGGGACTTAGCGCGCTGTATCAATGGCGAGTCCGGATGTCGTAATAGCGGTCGGGCCGTATTAGCTAAGCGCGTGTAGTGCGTTCGGTAGTAATTCGGGATGGTCTTTCCCCGTGTAATTCGGGAGTGCAACGGTTGATGAGAACACCCGTCGATGGCAGGGAACTCCCCACCACTAGAAGATCGCCGTTGCACGCAGGTGGTCGGATTTATGCGAGGTGTCGAGCACTCTCGACGGGGACGAGTACGCCCGTTCCCGTTTGCCTCGTTTTAATCGGAATCGGAAGGATCGCTCTCGGAGATGCCGCAATCTAATGACAATGCGTGTTTCGCGTGGTCTGTGGTCGCCGCTCTACATCCAG